ATCGAATAATGATTATGAAATAAAGGTGATTATTGTTGGTACAGAAATAAGAAATATTAAATCTAATCCTTATACAGTCTATATAATATAAATATTAATTTAAGAATATCAAACTAAGATATTTGTAAGATACAGCTAAATAGTTTCTTTATAATCTATTGTAAATAAATATGATTCAAATTTAAAAGTGCCAGTTTTATCAACATTAAATTGGTTTCATTCAATTGATTCAAAAGTAATTGATGAGAGAAAATTATTAATTGAAAAATTTTTATCATCAGTATTGAATTCTACTAAATATTAAAATACAAGTGAATATTAAAAATAGATTTCGGAACTATTAAATTTAAATTAAGAATTCTTTAAGATTCCTAATAAATAGAATTAAAATCCATAATTTAAATTAGATGAGGAAGATATAAGGAAAATGATATTGTAGAGTCAATTTTCTCCTGATATTTAACCTAATTTACTTCAATCAATGATAATGAAAAGAAAGTCAACAGTTATCATATAAGCAGCAAAAGCATCAGTTTAAAGATAAAGTTTAACAATTATTGAACAAGATAATTCAATTGTAATTGGATAAGATGCTACTAAACAACCATATTTTATAAATGTAAACTTAATGGATGATAGAACAATAATTATTGGATTTAAAAAGTAAACTTTAACATTATTTATAAAAAATGAAGTTGCTAAATTTTTAGGATTAAAATAATGGCTTGATTTTAGATTATTTATAGTTGATTAGAATCAAGATCAAAGAGTTATTGATGATGATGAAAAAATATCATCTATATTGGATGCTCATACATAATAAAATACAGGTTTGATTAATACTATAAAGAAAATATTTAATAATTAATAGAAATTCTAGTTTATATTTAGAAAATACTCCTATTTATCATGGAAATAGGAAGAAGCTGATTACAATTAGGATCAATAAAGACTTAATTATATAATACATGAACTAATATGGGAAATAAGAAATGAAAAATTTCAATATACATTTAATGAATATTGTTTGATAACAGCCTTATACTTTTATTCAACAAAAATAACTCAAGATTAAATATCTTCTCTAATGTATAAAGTAATCCCTAAGAATTATTTAAAAAGCAAAAAAGAAGAAGTTTGGTTAAAAGAAATAGTTAATAATATCAATTCTTTATAATTATGGTTAAAATAAATGTAAAAAGAAGACTAATTATCATCAAATTAATAGAACAAAAACTCTAACACATCTATATCAGAATTAGCCTAATTATTGATTATGAATTTATTTAAAAATAATTCTCTTTTTGGAATGCAATAATTTTTTGTTGAATGCAATAAATAAACTATCCAAATAATTTAAATACATTTTAATATTTAAATTAATAGTAATATTTTTATTGGATTAAATTATAATGGATTTCATATTCTGAACCCTTATAATAAATCATTAATTTATACATGTCAATATGAAAAATTATCCGAAATGAAGGCTTGTACAACTGAATTTTCTTGTGTCATTGAATCTGTAAAATTATCATTTAAAACATAATTTTCTTTTGAAGTAAATTATTTAATTAAATTCATTAGATAAAATCATTGATTCTTGAATACAAGTAATTATAGGAATTCACAAAACAAATAGCTTATGGTTTAAATTGATTTTATTTATATTCAAATTTAATCTATGTTTTTATCACTAAATAATGAATCTCAAACTTGATAGTCAGATATTTATTTTTTATGTTAATATGTTTTTTATATATCTGCTTTTTTAAATAGTATATTTAAATTCAGTTATTTATAAACCATTATAACTCTATATTCAAAATCATAAATAAATAGTAATCATTAAGGTTATAAAGATACATTTCTAAAGAAAAAACCAGAACCAAATTTAATTAATTAGTTTTTAAATTGGTTAGAATATAAGTTAAATAATTTGATTTAATTAGATCATCCTAGAGTGTAATTGGAAAGATCTCTTTTTGTTGGTTGCAAGCATCAATTACAAAAGATAGTTTCATATTTTGATTATTCAAAAGAATGAAATGCTAATTAATAGCAAATACAACAGAATATTCTTTTTTTAGGATAACTTAATTTGAGATTATTAATTATTTTTATAAATAGTATTCATAATAAAGATACTAAATATTATTATAGTAATTTAAGTTATTCTTTGATAAATTGCCTACATTCTTAGAGTGAAATTTCTTTTCTTTCTTGACATCTTGAAATTAAGTACTAAATTATTTTATTTGGCATGTCTTTAGATATTTTTTAATTCATTTTTAAGGCATTATTAATCCATTTTGCATTAACGTTCATAGATTATATATCATCTTAATATTAAATATATTCCAATTTCAAAATTTAATTATGTTTGACAACTATATTCCTCAATTCAGAAATTAAATTCTCCTTTTCTTATATAAGTTTAAATTGATTTAAAATTTTAAGTGCTTCAATTATTATTTCATTTTGAGAAAAATATAATTCTATTGAAAAAGAAACCAATTCAACATTTGTTTATCTCAAATATTATTGAAACTCAGAATAATAAAATATCCCATAACTTTATAAACATTTTTGACAAGCATTTGTGATAATATTATCATCTCTTCCTGGTATTTTATATTTGATTGGTAATAAATGATATGGACATTCATCTATTTACTATAAATCTACAGAATAAACAGGTATTTATGATATTTATATTTATTCACATGATGTAGTTTGAGAATTTAGAGATAAATTTCTATTATCCTTTTAATAACTAGAATGTGGAGTTTGTTATTAATACTCATTTAAGGTCTATATAATCCAATTTAAATCTTTTCTTAATGTGGGATCCTTTTAAATAGAATTAATTAATATATTTTTAATAAGATTCTTTTTATTATCTAAAATTGCAGGTTTTGCATATTATTTATCTCTTATAATGTAATTAATTGATCTTATTTTACCAAATACTTCTTCTTCAGTATCTCCATTATAAAAAGGTGTTTTATGTATTAATTCATCAATAATTAACCCTAATGCCCAAATATCTACAGATTTGTCATATTGTTATTTGTATAATATTTCTGGAGCAACATAATAAGCTGTTCCAACTTTAGTTGTTGTCATTCTATCTAATTTTACACTACACAAACCGAAATTCGTTATTTTATAGATTTCAAAACCTTATTTATCAACATATCTTAGAATATTCTCAGGTTTAATATCTCTATGTACAATATTCTTACTATGTAAAAAATTCAATCCACTTGCAATTTAAAGTGCTATGTTAACTATTTATTCTTCAGTAAATGATTTAGTAATCATCATTTCATATAATGTACCACCAGGACAATATTCTTAAACTATATATAGAGCTTCAGGTTAATCAAAAATATCAAACAATTAAATTACATTTTAATGTTTAAATTAAGATAATTGTAAGAGGATCATTTTCTCCTATTGACAAATAGCAACATTTCTATTACTAATTTTGACAGCAACTTGTTATTAATTTGATTTTTTAACACCTAAAAATACTTAAGAAAATGCTCCCTATCCAAGTAATTAGTTTTTTGTTTCATAATATTATTCATATTCATTTCTCATTTCTCTTCAATTAAAATTTTTTATTCAAACTCAATTATAACAAAAAATTATAATTCATGTATGACAATAAATTCAAATTTATTTCTTTTCTCAAATTTAAGCTTCATATAATCAAAAATTATTATTAGATTTCCTTAAATGAGAATAATTCAAAAATTTCAAGAAAAGAATGATAAAAATAATTTAACAATATTAGAAATTATTCAAATAATTTTATATTATATTAATTTTAAATATACTCTATTTGAATTAAGATGCTCATTATTTTTCACCTTTGTAAGATAAATTTATTTAATTTTCAAAATAAATTGTAAGATTATATCATAAAATAAAAGAACATATTTTTTAAGTTCAATTTAACTAAATCTTTTATCTTTATAAAATTCCTTTTATTAACTGAGGGCCTACATTCCTATAACTTATAGCCAATAAATATTCTTAGTTGAAAATTGGATGCTTAAGTTTGTAAATGCCTAATTTTATCGCTACAGCTTTTATATATAAACTTTATCATTCATATATTATTATTTTACTATTATTTATTCTTATTAACATTTTAAAAAATCTAAACCATAATATTAATTAAAAATAATCATTTTTGTTAGTAAAATATCATAATTGCGTATTATATATATGGTCTACCAATAGAATTAAGTATATTATTGAATTATTTTTAATGTCCTATAAATTAGGGTACACTTCCAAACAATAATTTTATTATCTTAACCAAAATAAATTGTAATTTTTTTAATTTAACTATGTTAATATAGTTTGTAAATCACCTATGGCTTGATTTATAATATAATACGGTTAGAATTTTAATAAATTTATTCATAAATTATTTTTATAATTTGATTTAAAAAACATGTAAAATATTAATTTTTTATTAAACATTGTAAATTAAAAACATTAAAGTGATTCATAAATAAATAACGTTATCTTATAAATTTCTTCTTTTAGACAAGCAAAATGAAAATTTTTTAATTTAATTTAATTATTTTCCTGTTGATTTTAATCTTGAAACGTTGTTAAATGTCTGTTTGACAATAGTAAGTTCTAATTGATATTACAAAATCATATAATTTTTATTGAGTATTTTATTAATACCTCTCTATATATCTTTGTTTTTGATAATTCACAGGTCATAGTCAAAAATATTAAAGTAATTTATATATAATAACAAAATTAAATTAAAAATTTCAACGAAAATTAGCAAACTTATTAAGTATAAGAATATGAAATAATATTATGTGTATTTGATTGGAGAGACAATCAATAAGAAGTATAAAGAATATTTTTGAAGGTCAACTCTTTTACATTTATGTTGAAAAAGATCAACTTATAATTTATAAAAGTAAATTATATTTATTAAAAGAATAAAAGCTTATAAATCAATTGTTGTCATCTTCTATTGACAATAATTTAGGAAATGATTTAGGAGATTTTTCGTATTTGTTTCTACAAGATGTAATGAACAACTATTGATGCTATTATTCATTAAGAATGCTTTAATCAGTTTTAATTCCTTTTTTTATATTACTTTAAGAATGAAGACTATTGATATGGCGAAGTGATAAAGAATTATGTTTATTAAAATTATTTGGCTTTTTTTATGTTTACATATTTAGTAAAATTTGATGTTTCTTTAAAGAGTCCCTTCTTGGTGATTGATTGAATTATAATAATCTAGATGGAGACAGTGAAGATCCATCAGTTAATTAATATTAATGTTAAAAAGAAATTATATTCTCAAAGTTCTCTTCAGATTAATTAAATTTAGATTAAGATTTAGACAAATTTAATTTAAAGTTTTTAATTTCATTAGAGAGACTCAATTCTTATTTACTTTTTTATTGTAAATGTCTATTATTAATATAAAAAAGCTTTTCTTATTTTTATTAAATATTTTAGTGTAATTCAGAATTTGGTACAAAAAAATCTTTTTACATTTTATCTTTGTATTTTTATTAGAATGCCTCTTATTTTTTTTTACACTTTAAGAAAGACTTAAGAGTTTTTTATTTTGAGATCTTAAAACTTTAGATTAATCTAAGTGTCTTTGTTATACATCTAAAAGTTCATCAAATGGTATTGAAGTCTATTAATTTTATGTAGTATTAATGTTAGATTATTAATAATTTTAAATACTCTACATTATTTATTAATATCTTAAAGATATATATTAATTATTTTTTTCTTGAATTTCTTTTAAAAGATTAACAATATCTGGAAAATTCTTCCTTATTTTTCTAAATTCCTCAGCTTCCACATAATATGCACTAGTATTATCAACACATTGACAATTATACTTTCGTTAAGGTAATTCTTCAATAATTTCTTCTTAACCAATAATTCCTCCATCTGTTATTGAACTAAGCTATAAATAACAATAATATATATACTACAATCTTTTTGAGTACTATGTTAAATTTATTTTTAGGTATTACTTTATTATTAAATGCCTTTTATTCATCAATTTTAATATATATATCAACTCTTCCACTAACAATAATTAATAGATATTAAGGTTCATCTCCTACTTACCATATAATAGATTATGATGCAAATTTGATTGGTCTTAAATATTATACAAATTTTGTAATACTAAATGGTTAGATTCCAGGAAATATTTTAGAATATAAACTCATTGCCTTCTTTTATTCTTAAATAGCCTTCTCACATATTAATTTATATTGAGCACGATTAATTGATATACAATGTAAGAAATCTGATACTGCTATCAAACTAGCCGTTCTAGGTTTATCAGACGTTAATGCCACATCTCCAAAGCATTATCCAGATATGTATTAAAATACCTATAGTGTATTTCATTATGATATACTTTATGGAATCTATATACTCCTTCTTAATAGTAAATAGGATTCTATCTATTTTCATACAATGCGTCATCTATGAAAAGCAATCTCTTGCTTTTTTTAAGATTATTTTAAGCCAACTCTTCTTGAATTTATTCTTATGATTTAGGGATATAAACACCAGCTTAGCCTTTCAATATAATGTACATCTTATCACCAAATTCTCCATAATTAAAAACTATTTATCCATAAGGAAAACACTCATATTTTGCATATTTTATTGTTTGAATAACAAAATCTTGAAGTCGAGTTCCCTCAGGACAATTGTTTTTAAAAAATTATATCTAAATCAATGAATCTACTAATTATTCATTTTATTATTTTGGATTGATGAAATATTCAAGTGCTTCAGATAATAAAGCTTCATTTTATAGCTATTATTTCAGTAATTAGTCTTACTGATTTAGCTTTTAATTAGTTTATTTCATCAATAAATATAAAATTAATTTTATATATTTTATCCTTTTGAATTATAGTTTGTTTAAGTATTTTGAACTTAAATTTTAAGATCTAAGCATAATTGTATTCTATAAAACATATAAGAATATTAGAAGTTGCATATAATATTAATACTATTTATCTTATAAAATGTACATAAAATATGAATATATTACGTCTCCTATTTGTATAATAATTAAATATTTAGAGAAGTGTATAGAATTAATCATCAAAGATTGAGAAATGAATTTGTCACTTAAGTATTTATAACAATTTTAATTAAGAAAATTAATATTATTAACTTTTAAAGCTGAAAATTATTTAAAGCATTTTTGTATTAAATTAATGAATAATATTTAAGTAATGGTTTTATTATTAATTTTAATATTAATATTCTAAACAGTTTTGATTTGAAAATTATTCTTTTTTAGTGATATTAACATTTATATTTTCATACATATAATTGAATTTGATGAAATCATTTAGATATGTGATTGTTTATAAAATCAATATGTTATTTTATTTATATTATTTGTCATAATATTGAATGTAATTTATTAATTATTATACTTGATGAGAGAAGGACAAAGACTTAATCAGTCATTTTCTTATTGTCGATCAAGTCCTGATAAGAAGGGTTCAAGACACAATAAAATAGTTTCAGATGCTTATAGAAAGTTTCTAGCTACTTATTAATAGTTATCTATGTTAGGCAGTTAGTATAAATATTCACATAATACTCTTATGCCTTATATACACTTTTTTAAATACATGGCTAAAAGATATGATGAAACAAATCAAAAATGCAAATTGAAAATGTGGATTCCAGATACTATAATATTAAATGATGTAGATTTAAGTGCAATATGGTTATATAGTAGTGCAGATGGTTATGTTTTTAGAACTGATTCATTTACATCTAGAAATGCAGCATAAAAATTTATTGAATGTAGTAATGATCCAGATGAATTAATTGCAGTTATAAAGAAACCGCATTATAAAGATATGGAATTAATTGGAAATGACACAAAACCTATATTATAAAAGGATATTCAATTATTATTTTCAAATGCCATGAGTGTAAAGCAAGAAATCACTTGTTTATAAAAATATATTAAATGTTAAGGTCCTATGGCATATATCTGTAGAACAATATGGAAAAAAAATGGATAAACTACAGCTTGGGTTATTACAAATAAATTAACATTTTAAGATGAAGGTGAATATGCTTAAAGATGTCTTGCAAGTGCTAGCAAATATAAATAAACTAATATAATTCAGTGTAAAGGTGGTCGTTTCATAGAAGAAACCATTCCTTATATATAAAATCTATTACTCTATTGTAGATAGAGTTTGAATGTAGAATTTGATGAATTAGGTTGTGATTTTACAAAGGGAATAGATAATAAATGGTATTTACTTAATGTTAGAGGTTTTAAATTGATTAATCCTTCTCATTAAATATTTACTAGACATATTACTCATGATGAATAAATACCTGTAGATTATGATAGAAAATACACTTCTAATTTAAATCAATAATGGAATTTTACAAAGACATAGATTTGTAAATTTTGTGAATTGATATATCCAGCAAAAGAATTAACACATTAATTAACTTTAAAAATGTTAATAGAATGTGATTTACATTTATTAAGTAGAAATATTGAATTAAAACATTTATAAATTAGAAATAGAATAAACTTTACACATCTTGATAGTGCAATGTTATTTCATAAATATTTTGTTTGTGATAGTTGTTATTAATTATTTATGGCATGTGATGAATTAATATAACTTGAATTTAAAATGGCATAAAAATTAGGAATTGATGTTAATGAAAAAAATAATATTATTTCACTTACTTAATAAGATTATCGTATTAAAGGACCAAATGTTATTCAAAAATAGGCTAACACTATATATGGAAATGGGGAATATTTTATTAAACCTCATGATTGGGAAATGTTAAATGAAGTATAAATAAAATTAATGCCCAACTTACCTGAAATTAATTATGGAACCATTCCTAAAATGAAAAGATTTAGAATTATGATATACCTTAAAACTGTATCATAGATTCCAATTGAAGCTTAATTTAATTAATCTAAGTATTACATTTATTACAGCTTTCTTAATTAAGAAATTAAGTATATTTATTTATGATAATTTTAGATTTTAATTAGATATGAAAAAGAGTATAGATCATTAAAAAGATATATTAAATGTTGATCATGTTAAATTATTTTATCTATTTGCAGCTGATAGATAAGATATTAATTGTATTTTATCACAATTGAAAATTGGTTTATTATGCAATTAAGAAATAATAGGAGAATTGGAATGTGAATTAGGAGATTTCAAAAGCTCTTAAGTTACAATTAAAGAATATTTAAAATATTTCTCAGGAATCTAAATTAAATAAATTTTATCATGGTCAACTGATCTAAGTATTGGATTAGTAGAAACTTAATAAGGAAGTATAAATGTAGAAAGAATTAAACTTTAAAAATATGGAATAATATATTTGCCAAATATTGATTATTATTGTAGTGAACCATTACCTTAAGAATGGATGAATTAATTTGAAAAAAGAAGAAAAAACAATATTAATCATATTGGTAATAATAGTACAAGTTTTGCAATATCTGATGTTTCCAATATTTTAGATCATTCAAGAGTTCATTAAACCAAATATCCATCAAGAAAAAGTTGCACTGCAGCAACTACTGCCCCAAATAAATTAGATTCATCTTCAATTTTATATTCAGAACTATTAGAATATTAAAGAGAGTATTAAATTAAAATAAATATTATAGCACAGATAAAATACTTAATTTCGATTATTGACCAACATTTTATGAATTATTTATATATATCTATAATACATTCACTTTAAATAAGACTTATTAATTTTATCATATAACTTCTAAAGAAAAAAAATTACTTAAACTAAATAAAAAAATACATCATTTATAAAATACTAAATAAATCTGAATTTTTTATAATTTAGAATTATTTATTAAAAATTTTAGATATATAATTCTTCAGAATTTATTAATAACCTAAAATATATGTAGCGCCTTAATTAAAAAAAAGAATCTTCCCAAATTCTATTTAAAAAATTAATTTAATTATGGTAATGATTTATCTAATTATTTATACAAATTAAGTAGGTTGCATATTCATATTTCAGAATGAAATTATAGTGAGATCTATTTTTAGATAATTTAGATTTGAAAATTAAGTTAGTTAAAGATATATTTTTTAAATAATTATGATTTAAGTTTTAACAAAAAAATCTTTATATTTTCAATAAGTAAGTTTTGAATTTTATTATTATATTAGTAAGTAGGTATGAATAGAGTGAATAATTCCATTAGATATAGTAATGTTAGTAAAATGATTATTGTAATATAAAAAAACAATTAGAAATTAATTTACTTATATAGATAATGATTAAAATAAAGAGAGCATTTAAGTTCAAAAAGTGAGCTGATATAAAATTTTTATAAATTGATAATAATTTATTATCTGGCCTTGAAATGATGAGGAATTGATAATTTAAAAAAAATAAAACAAATTTAATACTTAGTGAATAAGAGAGATTTAAAGATTAATATTATTATTTATTTATTGATGCAAAGAAAAAGACGTTGTGCTTTCGATTCAGATAGTTTAGAGGAATATATTTAAGTAGAAAATAATTTTAAAATGAGCTTGCAACTATTGGATAGAATTAAACTAACCTATTCTACGATGATAAAAAATTAAATTGGTTGAATGGGAGAAAATAAGTAGATGATGATGAAGAAATAATAAAGGATATAGAAGGATTTGAACATAACTATAGCTCTCCAAAGGTGGATTATATTGACACTTCTGAATTACCTCCTGATATAGTTTTGAAATCAAGTGATGATATATTTAGTCATCATATTATGATTTTGGGAGATATCAACGAATATGTTAAATAATCATTAACTATTTTTTGCATGCAGAGTCGCAAAAATAGCAATGAGGATTTCAATGAAGAGTTGATATCCCCTATTAAAAGGTATTTTTTATTATTTTATAGTTTAAGCAAACTTTGTTTAGATTTAGCGATTAAGAGAATTCAAGAAAAAAATGGAGTACACATTGTCAAGTTTCTTATGCATGATATGACAATATAGAATTATGGTCCAATTATTAATGGTATATCCATTTCAAGATCATAGTTTACTTTCTCTAAACTTCCAATTACATACTTATATTAAATATCGATGAGAATAATTCATAAGCTTAGAAAGAACAAGATATGATAGAATCTGTTAAATAAAAAGCTTCTATTGTGAAGAACATCTACATTTTATATTTTACAGAATCAGATATCTAAGATCAAAGAATACCTAATAAATATTATTGCAATCGATGGAATATAAGTGTGATTCTTTCATAAGTATACATATAATAATTAATAACTAAGATCATAGAACAAGTAATTAATTAATGAACAAATACTTTATAATTTATGTATTAATACATTCCTTTTTAATTGTTTGTTTTATCTTTTTATATTAAAATTCAAAATGCAACCAAATGATCCTAAAACTTACAAGCCACTCAAATAAATTGATAAAAACTAGAGAGGATATGGTTTAAAATAAATTGCCTAAATGACTCTTGGTTCAGGTAATATGTTGTTGGCAGTTGAATTACCAAATGGAGAAGATTTAAATGAATGGTTGGCTGTCAACACAATTGAATTTTATAATGAGATTTCAATTCTATATGGTACACTTGTAGAATTCTGCACTCCTGAACTTTGTCCAATTATGTCAGCTGGTCCTAAGTAATTTTTGAAATTATTGTTTCAAGATATGAATATCTATGGGCTGATGGATAGAATGTTAAAACACCTCTTAAAGTCTCTGCCTCAGAATACATTGATTATTTAATGACATGGGTAGAGAACTAACTTAATAATGATTCTTTATTTCCATGTTAAATTGGTAATTTATACATTTTATTAAGGAATTCCGTTTCCAAAAACATTTTTGTCTGTTGTCAAAGTTATCTTTAAGAGATTATTTAGAGTTTATGCTCATATTTATCACTCCCATTTTTAACATATTATGGCACTTGAATTAGAATATCATTTGAATACTTGTTTCAAACATTTCATTTATTTTATTGGTATTTATATGCATTGAATTTAGATGAATTCAAATTAGTTGAAGATAAAGAACTTGCTCCTTTAGCAGAGTTGATATAGTAATTCAAAGCAAGAAAGGAGAATCCAACCATGAATTAGGGTGTGTGATAATTAATGCACTTAATTAATAGTATATATATACATTTTTTTATTAATGCATAATAATTATGAATGATAATGAAAATGATGTTAACAAATAATTCAAAGTTTATACTTTTTTTAACAAATTTTAACTTTTTTTACTTATTCAAATTTGTATATCATTTGTCCTTATCCATCCTTTAATTTAAAGAAAATAGTGGATAATTTTACTGAATTTTGATATTTATAATCAATCTCTACATTTTATAATTCTATCATATAAAATGTTTAGATGTTTTGAATATATATTAAAAATAATTTTATTAATAACCTAGTGAATAAAATGATATACATAAAACATTAAAAGATCATAGTATTCAGCAATACCTCAAATCTACTATAATTTATTTCTAGTTATTGTTAGTATTAAGATGATATTGTAATTATGTACCTATTTTACCATATAAAGGAAGGATATAGAATTTCATTAAAATTAATAATTTAAATATGATATTAAATTAAATGATTATATTTATTATTCAATCTTTTAACAAAAATTTAACTATTAAGAAATTTCAATTAAATTAGACTGGAAATGAATAAATGGATTAAATCCATATTTACTTCAACAAATAATAATGTATGGATTTTTGATAGTTAGCTTTCAGTTTATATATCTTATCTATATTTTATATTTAAATTATTTAAATAATTTTAGATTATTAAAATTCTATTAGTATTTATTAATTTTAACATAATTAATGATATAACATTTTAAAAATAAATTAATTTTTAATGATAAGTTTTTCCAGATATTAGTATATATTTATATATATTTTATTTAAATAAATAAATAAAATCAAAATCTTCTCAAAGTAATTATCATCAACCTAATTTCTTCAATTGATCCCTGATTTAATTGGCTTTTTTAAGATTCATTTACATTTAAGGTTTGGATTAATTTTAAGGTGAATAAATAGATTAACTAGGAGATTGTCGAAAAGTAATTTATTAAAGAGCACTAAATTATAATTATTTTTATGTTTCCTTTCTCGAATCAGGAGTACTTAAAATAGAACAATCAGAATCTGATGATTATTATTATATATTAGGAGAACAATATTTCTTATTAGTATCAATATTATTTGATTTCTCCATTAACCAACTATCAGAAGATGCTTTAATAGGATCGAATTCTCGTACACCTAAAAATGGTGTTTATTAAATCAATTCATTTTATTTGCATTTTGATATCTTAGACCTTAAATCATATTATCCAAATTTTTTCATATTATCTATAATACTTAATTTATCATTTAAGCCTTAATTATTTAAATTAATTTCATCAACATTATTAGATTCTCTCCTGTATAAGCGAGATATAAATGGATGAGAAAGTGCTTCTAAAGATGAAATTCTACATTCTGGATTAGGTTCTAAAGATTTCTTTAATAAATCTAAAGCATCTTCAGAAACTTAAAGATCCTTAAAATTAATTTAGCAATCTCTGTTTTTCTCCATAATTTCATCAAGACTATTTCCATAAAAGGGAGCTTATCCAGAAAGTCTAAATTCATAATAATATGGTTTACAAAATATAAAGGATGATGCCTGCACTGAAGACATCAACTTTTTCATTATATTTTTTATCTTCTAATATTTCTGGAGCAACATAACCAGGAGTTCCACATTTAGTGATAATAAGATCAGATTCAGTATAAGATGCTAAACCAAAATCTGCAATTTTTAAATCAAAATTCTCAGATTTATCTTTTAATAATATATTCTCAGGTTTAATATCTCTATGCATAATATTCTAATTTTAATAAATGAATAATTATATACTTTTGTATGTAAATATTCTAAAGCATCAAATATTTTGAACATAATCAAAGCCACCTTAGACTCTTAAAAACATTTTGTTTCTAGTATGAGATCAAATAATTCTCCTCCTTCAAGCAATTCCATTACTAAATAAATGTAATCACCACTCTCATAAATTTCATATAATTTAATAATGTTAGGATGATGACAAGAACGTAACAAATCGATTTCATTAAGTAGTCCTTACTTTTTGATATCAGTTATATTCTTACTCTTTATTTATTATTTTTATCTAATAAGGCTGATTTTTAGAATGTCTTAACTGCATATTTACTTTAATTTAATTTTCTTTAGGCTAAGATAACCTTATTTATTAATACTCTTACCTTTGCATATGTTCCTTTTCCTATTACTTTAAGATTTAGAAAAATATCTCTATAATTATTAAGAATGCATGTCTTTTTTAAGTGTTCAATCCATTTTTATTTTTATTCTTATGATTTTGCTATAAAATTGTACTTTTTAGATCCTGATAAAAGTACAATAGAATGTTTATCCTTTTCCATTATGTTTTAAGGATTTAGATCTAAATAAACATTTGTCAAAAATAAGGCTGCTATTTCTTTTTATTCTCTACAGTTCTAATATTATGATAATATTGTATAAATTACATTATAAATGTTAAGTCTATCTGAGAATAACTTAAAAAACTTTTGTTTATATAAATCTTGTTTTTTACTCTTTATTAATAAAGTTCCTTCAAATAATCGAATAGTAGAAATTGGACGTTTAATTGAATTTAATTTCACCCATTAATTCCTTTCATTGGTATTAGTAGAATCAAAAAACAATTATTCCGTTTACATGAATATATAATTTTATTATTAATCTAAGTTTGTCTATATAGAAATTAAATATCAATTTATATAATACTAAACTCCTAAAAATTGATACATTTAATATATCAATAAAAGAATTATGAAAATGAATTTGTTTATATATTTATTAATAAAAAATGATGTATTCCAAAGCTGGTAAAATTTCAATTGAGTTATTTCCTTGGATATAATAAAGAGATGCAATAATCAATGGAGATAAAAAAAAAACTTATGAATTTTCAATCTTTGATGATATTCCTCATAGTAAACGAACCTATAAAAGTTTCAAAGAAAATACTAAATTATCACCAAAAGAAAACTTTTAACCAAAAGTTTAACCATTTTCAAGATAGGTTGGAAGAATTGAATCTAAAAAGGAGTTAGATAGATAAGGATTTTATAATCCCAAATATCATTTAGTTAAAAGAAGATCACCTTTAACTGATGATCCTGATCATTATAAATAAATAAATAGTGATCGATCTTTGTCTTCAAAAACTATTAAAAGATCTATTAAAATATAGAAACCCACTTAAAATCATTGTTGTGAAACTAGTAAAGATTATTTAAACAAAAAGTAATTGTAAGAAGAAAGAAAACAAAGAGCTTAAGAATATCAACCAGAATTAAATAGATTCCCTTTGCCAGAAGGACCAAATGAACATAGATTTGAATACTAATAATACCCTTAATCATAATATAATAGATCTCCAAATCCAATTATTAGACCACGATCTAGTTCTTCTAAAATAAAATTAAAAGAAGTAAATATATAATTTGATAAATGATAGTAAAAGAATGGTTAAATTTATGATATAAATTACACTGTAATCTATCCTAAATCTGATAAGATGATACCTGTTTTAGATAAATTAACACCAAGATAACCATTCAATAATGATAAGACAATATATACATATAATGAAACACTCTCTGATGATACTCCTAAAAAAAGAAATAATCCCTAATCATTTAAATTGGATTAATAGATTTCTAGAGAGAAAGCCATGAGTTACTATTCCTCTATAAAAAGACTTTATTATTTATGATTATTGCTATTATTATTAATATAAAAATAAAATGTCCTATCCCTTTGGTAATTAATTTTCAGCAGGGATGCCTAATGCCAAATATAAAACATCCCTTTGTAGACATTATTAAGGTATTATTATTATTATTTAGATTATTAGCTACAAGGTAATGTGCAATTGGAGCTAAATGTCAATTTGCTCATGGATAAGAGGAAATGAGATCCATTAATGGTATATATTAATGTTAAAGTAAATAAGATCCCATTCCTTCTGCCCTTATTGCAGTTTTAACAGTCCCTCCACCTTATTAGGAAATTATGAAACCAATGATGCCTTAGTAACCTGCTTTCAAAAGTATAAAATAACTTTGAGGTTAGTCCCATGTAAATATCATGCTTAAAATTATTGTAAAAATGGATAAAATTGCCAATATTCTCATGGTATTCAAATTTAATATAATAAGATGTCGATATTTAACAACCCATGATTCCAAATATAATTAATCCTTATTAACCATAATACCCTTAAGTAGATATGAGATAGGAAATAAAGCAAGAAGATCCAATGACTACTGTATTTATCATTATATTATAAACCTTGGAATAAATATTTTCAAAAGATGTTAATTATTATAAAATATTTAAGGATATCATATAAAAATTAAAAATTGCATAAGATCAAGTGAAATGTGGTAATTTGACAGTTGGTTCAGAATGCATTAAACTCATTATGACAGATCCAGAAAGAACCGATGATGAGATAGAATAGTATACTACTATATATAATAATGCATGTTATTATTATCATCAATTGTAATAAGGTTGAAAATTGGTTGTTTAAAAATAAAAAAACATATAAATAAATAAATTTAACTATTTTTATTAGTAATATTTTTTGTAAAATTTAAACCTTTTTATTAATTGCAAAAATAAAAGATTAAAATTTTACCCCTCTTTTTAAGTATTCTAGTAATATTTAATTTCTGTGAATATTTCTCAATTTTATATCATTATTAATTAAGTAGCATAAATAATTTAAATTCTATATTTATTATAATTTTCGAAATTCTTGTATAATCAATTAACAAACATATTTTTAATTATCGTCATATTATATAACTCATAATTAACTATATTTATAATTATTACAAAAATTATTCATATATATCCCCATATGAATATAAAAAGAGCTATAACTTAAAGTATTTCTTTTTTTTTAATCAAATAATATTTCTTATTTAAAAGTTATTTATTTAATAATATATATATTAAAATCGTTATTATATTATTCTTAATAGAATTTAAAAATATTATCTTTTGTTTTGATATTATTTAGTAATAGTAAAAATACTAAGAATATGATTCTATAATATATTTATTTAAAAGTAAATTAATAAGTTTATTATATCGACTGATTTGTATTTAATTTTGATCAATAGTGAATTATCAATAAAACATTTGTAAAATAAATGATATTATTTAAATACTATATAAAGTTATAATCAAAGTTAAAGTAATTTATTTATTTCCTAATCAGCCTTAATTAATAGATCTAAAATATCATTTTTAGTATATGGCTATTCGTCATCTATTAAACATTGTATTTCTTAATCAGTTTTATTTTAAAAAGTTGTTGAAGTTAATAAATTTTCTATTGGTAATTTAACACTTTCAAATACTTATTGAGTTTCTTTTTATTATTCTTCAGGAATGGTTTAAAGTTAAGATAGTGTAAATCTATCTTGAAATGAAACTTCATTATAATTTTATGTTATTTAATACACTTTTAATTGTTCATTTAATTGTTAAATCTAATTCTGCTATTATTTATATTATTCTTTATGAGTATTAATTTCATCAAGTAACTATTAATTTATATTACTTAATTTAATAATGAGTTATGTTTATTCTTCATATAATTCTTTTAATTTTAGATGATCCTAATTTTATTGTTTTATAGTTTTGTTTTATGTTTCAATTCTATTTTTTTATTATAGATTCTCAAATTTCAGTTAATCAATTTGATTATATAATTATTTGACAAGTTGAATTGATTTAATATCAAGAAGGTTCTCATTTGATACAGTAGTTATTGTTGATTATTGAGAGAAGTAATTATTTAATTGATTAGTTTTTTGTTAATGAATAGGTGATTTAGAATTATTTCTACTTTAAAGTTGTAAAACTTGTTTTAAATTTGAAATGTTCTATTCAGCAATTTATAATTTAGTTTTGAGTAGCTGTGTTTCTTTAATAAGATCCTGTACTAGATCTTATTTTTTGATATTCATTTTAATAAATAAATATATATTCAAAATGAATGAAATAGAGCAATAAGAAGCATCACATTATTCAACAATAAATGAATTAAAATCTGAAATTTAAGTTGTGTCTCAAAAAGAAGATCATTCTATAATAAAGTCAGAGAGTATAATAAATTTTGATGATACTTTAACTCAAATAGGGTTTGGAAGATTTTAAATAATGTAATATTTAGTATCAATAATATTGGGAGTGATGGAAGGAGCACAAATTACTATATTTACATTAATGATACCAATACTAAAAAAAGAATGGGATATATCTGAATCTATAGTGTCTTTATAAACAAGTTTCATATTTATAGGATTTCTAATGGGATCTATGCTATCAGGTTAATTTACTGATAGATATGGAAGGAAATTACCATTCATTTTTAGTTCATTGTTTACAGTTCTGATTTGTTTTACTACAATTCTTTGTACAAATGTTTATTAGTTACTGATAATGAGAGGATTAATGGGTATCTTTGTAGGTTTCTTTGCTCCATGTTGTGTAACTTTATTATAAGAAATTACTCCAAATAATTTAAGAGGTTAAATGACAGGATCTGTTACATTAAGTGTTGCAATTGGTTAATTATACGGTTTTTTCATGGCATCATTAATTTTGGATGGAATAAATGGAAGTTGGAGATTGTTAACTTTTTTAGGTTCATTACCAGGATTAGTAGCTTTAATATTATCTCTATTGTATATCTAAGAATCTCCTAGATACTTATTATTAGAAGGTAAATATTATGATGCATTTCAAACCTTAAAATTGATGATAAAAACTAATAAAACTACAGAGTTTAATTTATCAATTGAAAATGAACATAAATTAGTTATATGGTCATTATATATGAATAGTATAGCTAAAAAAACAGAACATGCTTCTTTTAAAAGTTTACTTAATGGAGATAGATTATAAGTTTCATTAGTTTTATGGAGTATTTGGTTTTTACTATGTTTTGCTTATTATGGTAATTTAATGACTATGCCTTAAATACTCTATTAACTCAAAGACAATTAATCATAATTATAGTAATTAGTTTATGCTTGTCTAAGTGATATTTTAGGAGCTATTTTGGCTACTTTAATTATTGATATCAAAGGATTTGGTAGAAAGAATTCATTAATGATTGGATTCATTGTAGCAACTGCTTTTTCATTTTTATAACTATATTATTATGAAGAATATTTTGCTATTTTAGCAATTTTATAAAAATTGTTTCTTTCAATGAATTACATTTTTTGGTATAATATTAATTTTGAATTAGTTATCAATTAACAACGGAACTTTATCCTACTAAATTAAGAACTACAGGATTGGGTACAGCAGTAGCTATAGGAAGACTAGGTGTTATTTTGATGCCTTGGTCTTGTATGATTATTTCCTAATATTCAATCATCGCTCCATTTTTGTTATTTTCTATAGCTTCCTTTTTAGGAAGTATTTTTACTTGTTTTATTCCTTTTGACACACTTGGTAAGAGTTTAGATAACAATAATTGATTAATTAATCTATTAAAATATTATATATATATATATTTGTAAATAAATCATAGTTATTATCTTTAAGAATATTAAGATCCTCTATTTAATCTATTTGTTGTATCAACTGATTATATCATATTATTATTAGTTTTACTATTACTTTTTGTAATATTAACTTCTTTTATTTAAGTTATTTATCTCTTTTTTAATGCTTCAAGTGATGTTTCTGCCATTATTAATTTTTCACTTAATTCTGATGCCTCCTCATTTTTTTCTTTAAATTTCTTTCTCCAAACATCAACTTCTCCTTATAAAGATATTACAGTTGTTTCAACTCTTGAATAGTTTTCTTATACTATTTATAATTCTTAGATTTAATCATTTAATTAATCTATCCAATTTTCTTTTTCATTTAAAATATTTCTTAATTTTATAATATCTGCATCTTTATTACTTAAATGCTTTTACATTTCTTTATTATCTATTTCATATTATTGTATTTATTTTTTCAATTATTTAATTTCTTCATTATTACCATTCTTATTCTATAATTATTTTTATAATAAAGTAAAACTTTCTTTTTATTCAAATAATTCTTATTTTAATCGTTAAATTTCATTCTTTAATCCATCTTCTTAAATTACAAAATTCTTAACCATAAGTTCTAATTCATTAATTTTAGTCATATAATCCATAGATTTAAGATTTTATTCATTAATTTTTAATCTTTAGTTTTCTATCTATAATCTGTTGATCAACTATTCTAATTACAATAATTTTTATTTATATCTATTTTCCATATCTTATATAGAGACTACTTATAAAGGTTTTTCATTTCGTTGTATATCATTTTATTCTTATACTTATTGTGTTCTTTCTGTTGATAATTAAATTACTCTAATAGGAGACACAGATTATTGCTAATAAGATGGTTAAATTTTGGCTATATACTAAGAGTTATTTCTCTCTGTTGATGGAGTTCTATTATTCTGTTTATTCATACATAGCTGAATGAGTAGATTAAGTTTGGATTCTTTAAATCGAATAAGTAGGTAAATAATTATGTGGTTAACTGTTTATTTGAGGAACTTGTCTTACATACGGAGATAAAGTCTAAGTATTTTTAGGTATATATTGGCTGCCTTTAGAACGCATCAATCTTTCTACTTTTTCGTTTTACATATATAATTATAGTATTTTGAGTTAAAATGTAATTGTTTAAAAGGTAACAAATTCACTTCTTTTGAATTATAATAGTGATATTGACCCTATAATAAATTTATCTGACATTTAAAGAAGATGGAATATAATTATAAATCAGCATATAACCTATTTTATTTGATATTAAAAATAGTTACGTTTCTTTTTTTTATAATATTTGCAATAGTTTTATTTAGAAATTTAATGTAATTAGGAATTCATCTCATTTATTATAGAAATTATTTTAATGAATAAAAAAATATTATGCAATTAGCAATTGTATTAATTTTGAATCTAATACAAAATTTAAAAAAAGGATACAAATTTTGTCACTTTTATACATCAATATACAAAAATATAGAAACTCTTTGTCTAATATATTTTTAGGTTAATAAGAAGCAGATGATCTTCATAAAAATAAGCAATCTGAGATTGATAAAAAAATATTAAAATGTTATGATATTAGAACTTAAAGAAAAAAAATAAATAAAAACAGCAGTATTTATTTGTGCAGGCATCTTTTGGATGACTTAAGCATTAAAATTATTTTTATATTCTGTGATATTGAATGAAAAGGAATAATTTATCTCAGCAAAATGTAGTGATATTTTATCGAAATATTTATAATCCATACTTATTCAATCCATTATTATCTAAATATCCAATAAAAACCATTATTATCATGAATTAATCTATTTGACAACTATACTTATGTTATTAAGTTAGATAAAATAATAATTTACATAATAAATAATTATCAATAAATACTTGAAATATTATATTAACCTAATAAATTTAACATTATTTATGGAACAGCGTTTTGTGAAATCATTATGATTACGATAGATATGTTTTAGGAATAAATAAAGTTAAAGAGTATGTATAAATAATATATAATTAGTGTCATCTATGGAGATTCTTTTATTATTTGTGCTGGATTACATATTAATGGGTGTAATTGTACCTATCATGCTTTCCAGAGGATAGATTATTGAATCTGAATTACCTTAAATTTAAAAAGAGATCTGCCTTTGATTAAATAATACTTAAATTATCTGCATTATACATCATAAATCTTAATAATAAGTTAGGAATTTCAAGTTGTTGTTTGATAGATAAAGCAATAAATCTAATATTCCTATTTATGAATAGTATGCATACATATTTTCTAATTTAATAAATGAAAGAATAGTTTAATATGGATTCTAGACTCCAGATGATAAAATTATATTGAATAAATTATAGTTAAATAGAATGAAGCAAGAGTTTAGAGGAATGAGTTAATACCAAGGTAATGCAGAAATAATTTATGAGTTAATATAGGGTTCACAAAAAGAGGGGTAATCAGCCTTTGATTTAACATTTTATTTGTTTGAAGTATAAATATATATATATATCGTTAAAAATAATAAAAATGAGTTAATATGAAAGGATTAGACCAATAGTTTTTCAGAAAGCTCCAGAAGTGAAACAAGTGAGATCAAATTCATTAGCTGTTCGATCATCACCATCTAAATGTTAATTAGATTTATCATTCGATTTATAAGTTAATTCAACAACTAACAATACAAATCAAGCATTAAAAGATATTAACAATTATAAAAAACTTTATGTTAGTGAATCATGTTAAAATAATAATAAAGAAAATTAATTATCTGGAAAGCATTTTTCGTTTAAGGCTGATGAAAATTAATATTTGAAATAAAGAATTAAACAATTAGAATCATAGAATAATAACTATGTTACTGAAAATAAAAAATTAGCACATGTTTTGGATCAATAAATTCAATTAAATCAATCATTACAAGAATAGTAATAATCAAAAAATTAAATTATAAGAAAATTAGAAGATGTTTAGAAAATGAGTAAATATTAACAGTCTAATAATACAGATCTTAAATAAATAAATGAATAATTGATTATATCTAGAAAATTAGTAAATGATTTAGAAGAAAAACTTTAAATTGTATTAAATGAAAATTAAAAGTTAAGCGAATTAAATGAAAGATTTTAGTTTACAGAAAATCAATTAAAAATTGAAGTTGAAAAATATAAAAGCAAATGTTCAATATTGGAGGGTAAATTAAAATAATAACAGTAATTTAAATTATCATATTTAGAGATGAATCTAAATGTTTAGAATTATAAAGAAAAATAAAAAAATAGAATGATTAATTAGAATTATTAGCTAGAGAGAATTATTAATTGAAATAATAGTTAAATTAAAATAATAATTAATTATCTTAATAAGAAGATAAATAGTTTAATAAGTAAATTTATATTTGATTTTAGTGATAAATTTAAAGAGACAATTCAAGAATTAGAATGTGAAAATCAATACTTATAATAAATGATAGGCATTGACCAATAAAAGATGAATAATCTCGAGGAAAAATTAAATTTGTTGTCCAAGGAAAATTAAAGACTTACAGAAATAGTCAAAAATCGTCATAAATAGCAATGATCTAAAATTTATAATTATTTTTGTTATTTAATTTAAAGAAGATTAAATTAAATGATTATATTTATTTAAAATCAATATCTATAAACTGATCCATAACCAAATGTTGGTGCAACATAGCTATAACTTGGGGCATATCCATAAGTTGGAGCAACATAACTAGTTCTTAAAGGAGCCACTGGTGCTACTGATACTACTGGAGCTACAGGTGCAGCATAACTGTAAGAAAGTGGTGATGCATATGAAACTTAAGCAGGAGGAGCTCTTCTAACCTATAAACAATAAATTAAAATTGAAACCTCTCTTTCATATTCCAAATAATCTACTCTTGGTACATTCTTTTCAACTGGCACATAATCAATTTATTTTTCATATGAAACTTAAGGAATATATTCCTTTTAATATTCCACTGGATAATAATCAGTAACCCATTTTTATCTTGGCACCTACGTGTTAAAATATTATTTACTTAAACAGTTCTTACTTCCTCTTCCATTTCTACTACAGGCTTTTGATATGGAACATATTCAACTCTAGATCCACCTCTAATTGGAGAATAAGCTGGAGAGGCATAACTAACAGGAGCTGCATATTAAACTGGTTAAACATATGAGACTGGAGCTGCATAACCAACTAATTATTATTCTTATTATCTTTACCTGGAACTGGTCTGGCAATAGATGTAGCTAATGGAGAAGCATATGAAACACCTAAAGGAGCATAGGAATACATGATAATATTAATATTGACAATAAAATTTATTGATGTTTTATTTTTACATGAGATATCAAAGCAAAAAAACTTAATAAATTATTTTAATTATGATACAAATTCAAAAGATAGATAAAGACTATTATTCAAATATTAGGATTTATAATTATTTTCGAAATATAAACTTTCATATATATTTAACAAAGCTTTGTTTGAAATTATCACATAGAGAAGAGAATTCGATTATATAAAATATATATATGATTAATTTAATAAGTTTGTGTTATTTCCAACTGATTATAAAATATTTGATATTATTTAATATAAACTATTTTTTGTAAATATGTCGGAATATTTTAGAAAGTATATCAAAAAAGAGCATTATGCTAATCATTAGTATTAGTTTATGATAATATTATAGCTCAAATCTTAAATTCAAAACATCTTTCAGAAATTGTATATTGGAAGTATTTAACAATTATTAAATCAGGCTTTTAAAAGAAGATTATGGAAAGAGACTGATGGAGATGATTGGGACATAATGTGGGCTGAAAAGGAATGGATTCATGAAGTTATGGATCATACTCATCTATAATCTAATCAAAAAATTAATCATTTTAGAAATCATTACGAAGTATTAACAAACTAAAAATAATTAGTTAACAAGGAAAGATCTCATGATAAAGAATTTTAAAAGATATAAGAAAAATTTAGAAAGAGAAGGAAAATAAGAAGAAGCAAATAAGTAATTAAAGCATTAATTAATACAGTTATAATTTCTTCCCTTTAACTTTCCATTTGCCTAGTGAATATCCGATATTTTTTGAAGAATTTAAAAGGTAAACAAACAATGGTGATACAAAAACAGCTTGGATAATGAAGCCTGTATTAATAATATATTAATTTTTAAGATTGGTAAATCATAAGGAAAAGGTATATTTATCTTTAACAAAATTTAATAAATATCTTAATGGAAGAATACCTTAAGATATAATTAAGATAATCCATAAGCAGAAGCATATATAGTTTAAAAATATATAGCAGACCCATTATTAATTGGAGGAAAGAAATTTGATATGAGAATATATTTATTATGTACATCTTACTAGCCATTAACATTATATTTATATAGAACTGGTTTTGCAAGATTTACACATCATCGTTATGATAATGAAGACATTTCAAATACATGTATAATTTAAATATTTAATTTTATTAAGATGTTCATTTAACCAATGTAGCAATCTAAAAGACATCAGATAATTATGACGAAAAACTTGGTGGAAAGTGGAATTTATAAACACTTAAACTCTATTTAATGACTAAATATGGTTAAGAAAAGGTTGCTGAAACTTTTTATAATATTTAAATGCTTATGATTAGATCACTATAAGCAGTTTAAAAGATAATTATTAATGATAAACATTGTTTTGAATTATATGGATTTGATATTTTATTAGATGCTCAACTAAAACCATGGCTTTTGGAAGTAAATGCAAGGTATTTTATTAAATTCATAATATTAGTCCTTCTATGACTTCTAATACACCTGTAGATTTTGAATTGAAATGTGGTTTATTAGATGATGTATTTACAATTATTGATTTGGAAAAAGTATTGACAGGAAATGAAGAATAAATTGGAGGATTTGATTTAATATGTAAAGGAACCCCAATCAAATTACCTATTAATAGCACATTCACTACTTATTTAGGGGCATTTAATAATAGATAGTAATAGTTAAAAAAAATTGCTAAATCTACTGCTATTAGATTGGCTTAAACATATTAAGAAAGTTAAACAAAAGCAATTGAAGTAGGATCTAAAGGATAAAAAGAAAAGGAAGAAAAAGATAAATAAATGAGAAGTTCATCTAAAGGACCATAAGTTATGCAAGTATTTTATTTATATTATTTTAGAATGGAGTAAATGGAAGTATTAAAACTAATAATTAATCAAAATAAAATACAATAATCAAAAGAAATACTACTAATTTGCCTACTTTAGGAACTGTGTAAAATAAGAATAATGTTAAAAGATATCCATTATAAAATGCTGGTTAATAATCATAATAGATTTAGTAATCATAATCAAATTCAAGCAAAAAGTAATTTATTATATTAAGTTAGAAATAATCCTAATGAAGACTCAATGTTAAGTGCAAATTAGAAGCTGCAGAAATTAACATAAGAAAGTAAAATAAATTAGTTTTAACCTTACAAATAATAATCATAATATAATGATGTTATGGGTATGGGCTCAAGAAATCTTTAAAAAAACGAAGAGTGAATTAAAATAGTTTTCTAATTTTAAATATATTAATTATCATTATATCTAATTCTAATTATATTATTTAATTATGGTATTTTCTATTACTTTTCTTCTCACAAATATCTGATAAAATGTTACCTAAGGATTATGATTTTATTTTTTACTTTATCATCTTGAATAATTCTATTTTGCAGTAAAAGATCCTTAAATCTTTAAAGAAATAAGATAAGAAGAAGTCTACAAGGCTCAGGAAATTAGTATATTGTTTAACATTTACTAGGTTTTTTTCCTATTATAAGAAAAATTATATATGAATGAAATTAAAACTAATTAATTATATTATCATGACTTAGACAATATTCTTATATTTGATTAATTGAAATGTCATTAAAAA